CCCCCCCATCCCTAGTGCCAGTCTACATCACATTTTTAAATATTACTGTGTCTTTCAGGCAGAAGCACGTCTGGTCTCTAAGTTGTAAACGGTTTAAAATACAGTTTGTTGCTCCGTTGATTTCTGCTACACAAAAGCATTAGTCCTATTTAAATTTTAATGACTACCTTTAAAAACCGACAGCACTCTTGTTCAAAGGTAGTCCACCATACTTCTCTGAATGACAGCAGTGAGGCCAGCATCCTGTCCAACAGCATTTTTATTTTTAATTATTTGGAAATACCAAGAAAAGCACTGGCATCTGAAGCAGAAGCTGCTGTTTAACAATAGTTTAACTTGTTTAAAATAATCTAAATGATGTTGGCCAAACATATGTTTGTTTGCAGAATTAAAAACAACACAAAATTGAATTACACAAAGACGTTTATTACCTATGAAAAAGTGTGAAACTTAATCTGAGTTAGCTTTAATTGTTTAGGTTTTAATGAGAAAAATGTTGACCAATTCTAAAAAAAATTCTAAAACTTAAGTTTTAGAAATGAATCAAATCAAACATTCATTTTCAAGATTAGAAAGGTTTTAATTATTACAATTAAATTCTCGATTCTCTGTTTCGCTTAGAGCTATCTTTTTATGGTTTACTCAAGAAAGTTATTAAAAAACTAGATTTTATATTCTATAAAAATGTATGTAGCAGAAAAGCAAATAATAATTATTTCCAAAATATGTTAAAAATTAAAAAGAAAAAAACCCACATTTGGGAAGAAAATGCTCCATAAAAATTCAACAAAAAAAGGTTGACAAAATAATTGAAATGTCTTATTTTTTTCTTATAATTGTTTTTATTTTTTTCGTATAATAGAAAACAATGTAAATTGAATAAAACAAAAAATGTAACTATTTTGTTTCTACTATTTCACAAAAGTGAGAGTGCTGCATTCAGTTTTCTCAAAAACAACAATTTTTTACTAAAATTTTTTACTAGTGTGGGATTTTTCACCTGATCATATTTCCTTAAGCCTATAACCGTCTGTGTAGGGCTGTGTTCAGATCAGACCCAGGAGGCTGAGCAGAGAGAACAGGACGACGGTTCTGTTATCAGTCCACCACAGGGAGCTTTTCTAACAAGAGGATCCATTTATGACCTTACACAGTCACTGAGCTCCGGCAGGTTTTCACTGCGGTGGGCTGTTACTCGAAACCTTTTCACTGTTCAGACCTGTGAGCTCACTCCAATTAGGGAAGAAAAAAATCAGTCTGGTAGAAATTCAATATTGGCAAAGTTCTTTTATTTGGGATAATTGTGTAGAAGGAAAGTGTTTTGATAAATGAGTCACTCTGTGCTTATGGTGCTGGTTTGGTGAAGTCTGACGTCCTCCGCCTTTTTAATGTGCAGGTTGATTTCCTCTGTTTGAAAGAACAGGCTGGATCACGTCACTGATGGCTCTCTGCAGCAACTGTTACTTTATTCCCTGACAAAAAAAGGACGAAAGAAAGTGTTTTTACAATCCTGTAGTACATACTGTATCTTGGTTTGTTTTACCATAGTCCTGCTTGTTGACATTAGTGTCCATTGTTGACCTTTGTTTGTGCTGTTAGCAGGCAAGCTAACAAAGTAATCCATAAAGGCATATTTAACACTGCAGTATCTGAAGCGTTGTAATATGTATTTTGGACCATAACCAAACTAGAAATATACATGTCAACCTCTTCTACCAAAAAAAATGATGAATTTCTACCTGCACTAATTTTAATGATTTTAGGCTTAGATACTTGACAACTGTTAATGCCTTTGTGCCTGTGCACGCTGCTTATTCATTTTATTTTAAAAAGGCGACGAAGATGCCTTGTAAAAGGTCTTTTTTTAGCTACACTACCGAGCAATACCTTGTTTCTTTGGACTGTAACTGGAGGCTAAAAATGTTTTCAGTCTGAACATCTGCATTTTGTGTCCTTTGAAATGGTTTAAAAAATCTAATCAATGCATTTGAATCTCTGAAATGAATGATAAATTTTACTCTCAGTCTCTACATTTCTCCTCTAGGTTTTCCGGCACTAATTTGAAACTTCAGTTTCTCCTGTGACGTGGCTACGTGTGGGTGATTGTTGGCATAAATAGAAAACTTTGAAGCCTAAATACAGTCCTGGCCCGTGGAGAAGTTCAAGCTTCACTGTTACCATATGTCCAACGAGACAGGATCCTGCCTTCTACGTCATGTGTTGTTCTTTAAAGCTGAACACATTTGGATGGCAGTGTCACTCATGTTTCTGACTAACTCTCTCGGAGTTGAAATGGAACAGTTCGTTGTTGAAGGATACGTCACAACCTCACTTTGACCTCTCGCTGTCAATCTCTGAGGACACATGAAACAGAGAAGTCTATTCATAGACAGTGAGTGGAGTTTAGAGAAGTTAACGGCAGTGACGTTCGCTTCCTCTGATGGGGGCTGTTGCTTCCACATGTCTGGTCTGAACCGGATAGAAAAAGTAAAATCATATGGATCCAATGTGGTAGAAATTGTAAGTTATACGTAGAAAATGCATAAATTGTGTCATAAATGTATTAGTGAAATACTGAGTACACGTGGAGGGGGATTTCAGTAGTAGAACATGTGCTGAACATCCCGTGGAGGATTTGTGGAAGAGCTGCAGCAGGTATCTATTTTCCACAGTTTGACGTTGTTGAATCTGGAGGAGAGCGAGTCAAAATTAGATTAATTTAGGTGGAAATGACTCGTTAGTTCAACTGTTAATTATAAACATCTGATGTCTTCTCTCTGACGTAGCCATTTTTAGACTGTTTTATCCCACTTTTGTATATACTTTCAACATCCTGCAGTGGAATTTCACTTTCCCAAGCCAGGAAAAAGTCCTTGAGTGATGCACTTCTGCAAAACCAGGTGTTAGCACTGACATTAAAGTGCTAACAATGTGTTTACAATCTGATACAGACACGGTGGCATCTTAATGTGAATTCTTCCCAAACTGCAGACTAGAATTTAGACACGGTCCATATTCTGTAATGATTTATGTTCTTCGCTGTTTCTTCGGGCAAGAAAAACTGACTTGTATGTTCAGACACTGGAATTTAAATTCTCATAATGACAATGTCAGAGTTTGTAGACCTACATCATACAACGACCTTTTTTTTTTTTTTTTTTTAAGTGTTTACTTTTGAATATTTTTATTATACTTCTTTCCGTTTCACCTATCTGTCTGTCTGTTTCTCTCTGACTCTAACCAGCCTGGCTGGAACCCTATTTTGACACAATAAATAATAAAAATATTAAAATAAAATATAAAATGAATAATCTTATCACAAGAAGGTAATTCATTTTGTCAAAACATTCATTTAGTCAACAAATGGTTTCGTTATATTTGTAATGCATTTATAAATCCCAACCACCCAGTTATAACCAGATTATTTTAACCTCTGCATGTCTTGAAAATGAATGTTTAATTATGGTTTAAGAAGAGTTTTACAACATGGAAATACAAGGGAATGTTGAGCAGCGTCTAAGAGAGATGTCAAATAGTCAAAGGTTTTGACATGATCATGTTAAGACATGTCTTGTTCTGTCATTATATATTTGTCAAGTGTTGAGCAGGTTTTATGTCATCAGTTGGGTTTTTTTTTATTATTATTATTGAGGAGCTGCAACATGTTTTTTTTTTTTTAATCTATCGCCCTAAAACTGAAGAGAACATTTGAAAGGACAAATCATGTGTCATGTAGAGAAATGTCTTTTCTATACATGTCCATTTCGACTTGTTAGATTCCTGCTCGATTGGTACCAAATATTAGAGCAACTGGCATGGTTGGTTTTAACAGTGATTGCTCACTGTCAACATGTTACAGTAAATTAAAAAGGAAGTGGAATTATTTTTCTTACTTCCATCAATATTCAAAAAGGCCAACGTCAGCATTCTTTTCAGAAATATACTGTATGTTTTTGTCATTATTTATTATTTATTTAAAAAAAATCTAATAGGACTACACACAAATTTGTGTTGAGCAAAACTTGTGTTGAGCAGGAACACTAAGTAATAATCTTCCTCACCTCCTCATATCCTCCTCTTCCTCCTCATGTCAACAGGTCGTGGCAGCGACTCTGAGTCCGACGGTCCAAACCACAGGAAGTTGCCGGACCTGCGTAAGGACGACATGCTGGCACGGCGAACCTCTGTCACTGAGATACGGACAATGATGCCTTTCAACCAGTACTTGCCCAACAAGAGCAACCAGAGTGGATATGTGCCCACACCGCTGCGCAAAAAGAAAAATGACAAAGAGGAGGGGGGACGCAAAAGCTGGAGTACCGCCACGTCACCTGTAGGGGGAGACCGGCCTTTTAGGTGAGTGGAAACTTTAAACTTTGGAGTTGTGCGTATTTATACTGTGTGTAAGGGAAATATTTAAAAAAAACAATTTGAAAGAAAACAACATTATTTCAGTTGTGTTTGTCATTTATTTTGGTGAAGTCGTAAACAGCCTTGTTTAGCTGTTGTTTATGGAAGAATTATTATCTGTCGAAGGTGGAAAACAATTTTAAGTTAGTCCAGCTAAATCCACTCTGTCAAATGATTATGAATTCCTTAAAAATATTAGTTGAAGCAGTGAAGCTTTTATAAAGCAACAGCCGTAGTGTTAACTATTGAATTCAAATTTGAAATATGTTTCATCCACTTCTTACCATGTTCAGTCCTGCACATTTGTCGTACAGATGTGAACAATGAAGGCCACATGTTTGTTGTCATTTGGTTCTGACTCTGAAGCTGAACTAGAAAAAAGGAAATAGAACATGGACCAAATGAGGCATAATAAATCCTTTTATTATCTCTGTGCCTTTCGCTGCTTTGGTTTGGTTTGGTTTGCCGTAAATGAAGTATTTGATCTCCACTGGATCTCACGGTAGACATTCTCACATTTCCTGTGGCTAGGAATATTTCACAATGACCATGAATAAGCTTTTTCATCTGTGTGTGCGCAGTGTTATTGTTGGGTGTGTGTAGTGTTAGGGAGTGTTGGCTTTCAGAAGGTTCAATGTTTTGAGTTGTTGATGATCTATTGGTGAACATCAGCGGGGGATTTGTTGTGAGTAAGTGGGTGGAAATTCATTAGGGGGAAAGTTAACAGTAAGTGTGAGTTCTTTGTGTGGATCTACTGCTGCGTGTTGATTATTCCTCCAGTGTTATATTGTATATTGTACCGGTGTGCTCATATTTATTTATCCATTTGTTTTCTTTCTTTTTCTTCCTCTCCAACTCCTTCCTTTTCAATTATCGTCTTGTTTCCTGACATTTACTGCATAAAATCCCACATTTCCCTCACGGCGTGTGAAACTTCTATTCCTTGCAAAATACCCTCCGTCCCTGTCTCCCTCTCACTTGTACCTTATGTGATTAACCAGTCCCAGTGACACCCCTAGTCTAGAAGTCCAATATTCGTCCCATTGCCTGACCCCTGACCCCCAGACAGATCTGGAGTATCACAGTGTGAAGGATGAAGAGGGAGGTGGAGACGCTGATTATCTTTCCTGCATTGAGGTCCACTCAGCAAGTATGAGAAGGAGCAGTGGTGGGCCTCCAGTGTGTAGTGTCTTCTCCAGCCATGAACCTCTCATGGAGACACTGACTCATCTGTTGGTCAGCTCTGAGCACAGGTTTTCATCTAAATTTCATTGTTTCTCCCTGTATCTGTGTTTAAAATCCATACTTCACCTTATTGAGGCCATGTGAGCAGTAACGTTGGGATATATTGAAATTTTAATGTTAATATTAATGCGGAATTTCTCCCCAATTTGTCTCAGTATTTCAACACAGAGAGTGTAGAGTAACATGAGTTTCAGTTTCTGACCCAGCATTTCTTATACACAGTGTAGAGTAACATGAGTTTCAGTTTCTTACCCAGCATTTCTTATACTCAAACACTTAACAGGACACATGACTGACTCTATGACGTACCTACAGGAGGAGGCACCCATGTTTATATTTAAAAGTATGAACAGGTATGCCCATGTTTATATTTAAAAGTATGAACATATAAGGTTTAGTCAAGTTTAAACATGAAACAAGATTTGTTTCCTTCAGATTTTACTTTTTTATTGAATTTTTGTTCAAGGACTGACTGTGGTATGAGTTCCTTCCAAATGTTCTTTCAGTTTTGGGATGAGAAGAAAAAAAATCTAATGGAGTGAGATAACATGTTGCAAAGCAAAAATATTCATTTATTAGAAATGAAAGACCTAAATAGAATAGAAGCCTAATGTGACAAAGAGATCATCGTAAAATATTGTCAAGTATCTTAACGTCGTATTCAAATCAGACACTTTCTGAAATCCTAACATCTGTCTTTGAACTTTTTGACCTTGACCACAGTAGTCTATAGACCTAATGGCAGTGAGTGGTTAAATCGTAGTATTAATCCAATATTAAACAACAGTCCAATAATCTTGCACCACTCCATTACAGAGAACAACTTCTAACAGGCATTTATTCCTCCTCCAAAAATATGTCAAACTTTAGGCCCATCCTTTGTTTTTTCCACTCGACCTGATGTAACGTTCACATCTTGGTTGGAGATGTACTGCAGTCACACTTTTACTTTCCAGCATTTTCTGGCCATGATGCTTATAGCCATGATTGAATTGTCTGCATTTCAAGGCGGTGAAGTAGAAACGTGTCACGTCCTCGTCTCTGAGCCAAACAGCAGCCTGGTTACTGCTGGTGTCGCTTCAAAAACTACAGGACAAAAAACAACTGATGTCATCACATCAGCATATCTGTGTTATGTCTTCACACATCTGCTTCATATGAAGGAATACTTTTCTGGGATTAGTGTTTCATTTTGTTTTGTTGAAGATTACGGCTTTTTTTCACCTCAGCAAACTTCTATAAAGAATTTAACACAGAGAGTGAATTATAAACAGAGGCCAGGTGTTTTATGCCATATATATATATATATATATATCAAATTATTTTTTAATAAAGCAGATACATTTTGTATTTATATATATTTATATTTTTTTTCTTTAAGGATATTTTGGTCAAAGTAAGTAGTTCAGATTAGGCCTCAGGCCCTGGTTTGACCTTGGTCGAAAGCTTTGACGCTTGATCTCAAGCAGCAACACCAGAAAGCAGTGTCTTAAATAGTCACACACTAATATCGCACACAGAGAAAGCACGCTGTGTGTGTCCACACACAAACACACACACACAGAACCCACTGGCACAGAACATGAACAGACGACCCACCCTCAGGATGTAAGGAAATGGGACCGCCTTCCTTCCCTGACCCTGAGCTGACTGGAAATGTAGCCCAGCCCCAACTTCACTGTTGACATTTGGCCAGCCTCGCTCCCCTTCTCTTCACATAATGCATTCTGGGAGTTTGCGGTCCAATAACAAGACTCCCCCGTAGCAGTTATGAAGTGTTTTTCCTCGTTTCCCATCATTCTGACTGGGATTTGTTCTCTCTGCGTTTCTGAAGTGATTTGTGACCATGCTCTACTTTGATTCATGTTTTCCTTTGACCTCTGAGTCAAGAGTCTGTCTGACAATGTAGGACAAAGGTGTCTGCACTTTCTAATGGTCAGGATAGACTTGACCAAAAGAGAATAAGAATAAGCAAAGGAAGAGAATCACAGGTTTGGACAGAAAATTATATTAATTATAAATGTAGTGAGGATAGCAGAATTAGCTTAAGTAAGTCAAAAAGTAACAGCTGGGTGTTTGCTAACATTGAACGTTGAAGTGAGGTGACAGTAGAGACATTTCTGTCCCCCGTTGTCCTCTCAGCTGGACTTGGTCGATGCAGGATGAAAACCAGACCACTGTACGCATATAGTTTTCTTTGCTCCCCGCAGCGTTTCATCTCGCTCATGCTCAGAAGAACTTTTCCAACAACCGCCAGCCACTCTGGCAGTGTCATCGGTTGCCTCCAGCCCTGGGAAACAAACATTTCTAACCAACCAGGAGGAGGACGGGGTGAGGAAGGGAGTCTCTCTTGCTCCACCTGCTACAGATGCAGACCAGAATGAGAAGCAGGACAGACGGATGCTTTCCTCTCCCAAAAACAGCCCCTCCCACCTCCTTCCTGGATGCACTGCTATGGCAACAGAAACAGGCAGTCCAGGCAGACGGAAAGCAAGGACACAGAGTGAAAGTTATGACCTGCAAGGAGCGACAACGTGGTTGCACCACAGTCTTCCCCCAACGTGAGCCCCATCAGGCAACCTCATAAATGAATGGCACAGTGGCTGACGTAGAAGTGAAAGGAAACTGCTTACACTATAAGAGCATGTGATGTGGAGGTCTTGCAGTAACTCTGTGAGGAGCATGGACCACCGAGGCACCTTAACATTGCATGGCACTTTTAAAATGGATGCTAATTCATATATTTGCATATCGTAGAATGCATGAAACACCAGGAATGTCTATTTCACTTGTTTCCTTTTGAACCAGTTTGAAGAAAGTTTTGGAAGAAACAGATTACGTAAGATGCAGGAAGTCATATTTGTATTAATAAAACCATTCAGAGGTAATAACATGGGTCCAACAGCTTAGGTCAGGTGTAAACCAACCTAATTTCACTGTCTTGCTCTAAATGGCATCAGAATTTACTTTACTGACTTTGTGTTTGAAAACAAACCTTAGACTAATGTTAATTTAAGTTGTAATTTGAATGATAACTAGTCTAGTATTTCTCTGACAAATATCTGCTTTCATAGAAAAGCCAGGAGTTGATCTCACTGTCATGGCTGGTAACCATGGAAACTATGCCTTTTCTTATTTACAGTGTATGTTTTACCTAACCATTTCCGTTTGTTGTGCTTTTAAGACATTCAAAAGAGACAAATATTTGTGTTGAACTCGATGATAGTCACAAGTCCATTTTTTTAAATACCCAGTGTGGACCAGTTGTTTGATTAAAAATTCCAATATTAAAGTGTCACCTTAGTAAAACTATAAATTTTTTCGCATTAAAATGTTTTTTTTTTTAAAAAGACATTTTATTGTCACACTATGAGGGAAATGCATAAACATTAACATGAAATTTGAGTCTTTGTCCATATCATGTTACTAAAAACTGCCATATGCCAAATAGCCACCTTGCTCTTCTCCAGATTTGTAGAGTCAAACAGACCCTACAGACCCTACAGACAGACCGCAAGCCACACTGTGTCCCCCGCCCTCCATCAGATGCATGTGCCTGTTTGTGTTTGTGCTGCAGCTAATGATACTCTCAGATGTCAGGCATCTGTTGGATGTCAGAAAACATTTCTTTTTTACTTTCTTTTTTTGAGCAGTGTTACAGTAGATCTGGTTTCTGTTCATGTCTGTCTGGCTGTGTTTTAGATAAGACTGCCCCCTAGTGCTTGAGTCGAAGCTTATCCTTAAACCTTATGCATCAACCAAGGCTGATGCATATTTTGTATTCTGTGTGCTAAGATCAACTCGTGGAGTTCAGTGTTTTTCAGTGACTGCCTGTGTTTGTTTCTGTGTTCATCTGTGTCTGTTCTTTCTTTCTTTTCATGCTCTCTGTAGATTCAGCCGCGCTGATAGTGTGTCAGACGATTCACAGTAAGTTGTCTTTAAGTTGGACTCTGCTGCATTGCACTGCACAGCTCTCCATGTCAGCACTTTACCTAACAAGTCATCTGTTTGAATTTTAGTGTTGATGATGCAGCACTTAAGACGTTCATTGTCTAATATGGCTTTAACTAGATATTCAAATTGGTGGATTTTATATTTAATGAACTAAATTTAAATTTGTGTGATAATAGTTATCTGTGCACATAAGGTACTGTAAAATTTTGTTACATTTTAATTTTTAAAAAATAATAAATATGTCTTGGAATTCTGACTGAATATCAAAAATTGAAGACTAAAATCAATTTCTGACTTATTTGAGGAATAATAATAATCCACGAATATAATTTTTAATTTTAGAATTTTTTCTATTAACACTCTTGCCCCTTTTTGCTCATTTACCACAATAAATATACACTATAATTGGCATTACAGGTATACAAAAAAAAAAACTGTGCTGCTTTGACATCACATCAGTGCTCCTGTCAGCTGCATGTTCCACACAAATATAACATGAATGTTTTCTCTACTTCCTCTGTTTTCACCCTCACCATCTGAAACATGTGTTTCATACAACAGGATCTGATTTCTCACTCAGAGATGATGCATTTGCATGTGCGTTTAAATCTTTGATGATGACACTTTTCACTAGTGTTTCTAGATGTGAAAGTTTCCTGGAGATGTGAAAAACACTCCGTCATAAAAGTTTAATTTATATTTATTATATTATGATTTATATTATATATTATGTCTATATTGTGTCTGAGCAAAGAACAAAAAACTGTTTTATGTAGAGGAGCAGATGGTTCTGATTTTTGTGACGATGATTCTAATGTAAGGAATGAGCAAGAACTCATCTTTAAACACAAACATTTTTCTCATGATCAGCTGCTTTTTTATATATTAAATTTATATTTTGAGGTTTAATGTGCATAGCAAACGACAAACAATTACAAAATACATTTACAAAGAACCAGTCAGGGTAGTAAGTATTGACTGTAAAGGTGTTGAATTGTATCCTAACATGAGTATCATGCTGTTACACAAAGTACGCCATATATTGTGCATATTTAAAATATTACGTTCATAAAATAAATAAATAAATATAACACTATATTTAGGTGGTTCATTTTGAGCTCTTCATTGCTGGTTCTTTGGCCAAGACTAAGTCTTAATGGCTCTGTTGTCACTACAGTAAAATCTATCACTGCTGCTCTACTGCACTGGTCTTATCTACAGTAATCAGGCTTAGAAAATACTACGGTGACAGTTGTTTTCATCCAAAAGGACTATAGGAGTTGATGTAAAGTACAATTTTACTCCATAATTAACTCATATCTTTCATCTCTTCTCTGCTCTGTCTCTCTTGTTGCCTGGTTTTGTTCTTTCCTCCCCCTCTTTCTCCACCTCCTCCTCCACCTCAGGAGTGTGAGTATGATCGACATGCGTGGTGAAGAGGAGACCATCCTGCCTCCCCACAGTCAGGTGCGTCATGAACTGATGCACAACCAGTACAACAGGATGAAAGAAGAGGATGATCACTGGCAGGATGTAAGTAGCTCAGGTTATTCTGACTTGTTTTTATATTTCTACATCCCTCTATGCATGTATTTTTTTGATAGCCTTTGCTACTGTAATATGAAAAAAATACATTTTATCTAAGGCTTATTCTTCCTCTCACCAGTAAATCTGGGGCAGATTTCTTCTTTTTTTTTAAGGGCCGGAGGCTGAAAAGTAATATCTGACTGTGCTCCACTTCTACAGTGTAAATCAGTTCAGCGAGGCCACAGCTGTTCTTTGGGCCGTGCATCATTATCAGACCAACATCTCAGATCTGTCTCATTTATACCTGACACTTCCCTCGTGATCTGATTGTGTCCAGGACCTCGCGAAGTGGAAGAGTCGGAGGAGGAGCATTTCAATGATGGGGTTGCTGTTTCTACAACACTGGGTATTGTTTAGAGCAGAAAACTCAATGTCTCGCCTGGTTCCTGGTAGAGGGCGGATAGTGATTCTGACTGGATTTCAATTCAAGAGGATTTCCACCGAGAAAAGTGAAGAAGTAAAGACAGGAAAGACTTACAATTTAGATTGTTAGCCTTAAGTATTGATTGGTCTTAAATGGAATTCCTCCCTTTTACAGGAACAATTATTGAGAAAGTTGCTCTTGCATTTTTTTTCATCATCATCAATTTGAAAACATTTGGTTAACCCTTTTGAACACCTCTGTTCTCCGTCATTACTACAGGGAGCGTCGAGAAGAGGAGCTGCGGGAGGCCTACAGGAGAGCCAGAACCCAAGAGGAGGCGTCGGCCGTCCTCCAGCGTTACGCCCAGCGCTTCTCCATCAGTGAAGCTGTCCTGGAAAGCTTGCAGCTGCCAAAGCTCTTAGACCGCAGCATATCCGCCGACCCTTCCTTCCCCGGCTCTCCATTTCCTCTCTCCCTCACCGCCTCCCCAACGACCCCAGACCCTTTTGACGAGGACCCGAACGGGCCCTTAAGGTTCCTGCGTCAACAGTCGGCTCCCGCTCCTTCACCGAAGTTCACGTCCACGCTGGAGGCGCGGATCGAGGAGTTTCCCAAAGACTTCCAGCCCTCGCAGCCACGACCTCAGATACGATCCCGCTCGTCTGAACCGCCGTCCTCTCGCACACTGTCACCCAAACCGGTGCCTTTGCTGATGCCAAAGCCTTATTTTGAGTCCACCGTCAGAGACGTGAGTGAGACGTTGGGCAACAGGGTGAGTTCCAGCATGTCGTTCTATCAGTGTCAGACAGGATTTGGAAAATCCTCCCCTGCAGTAAGAATGAATGCATCAGTGTAGCTCTAAGACTTTGGATTGACTCGTCCAAATACCATGTGGGTCAGATCCTGGTTGGATGTTTGGTTGTCATGGTGAGTTGTGACCTGATTTAAAAGAGTCTAAAAATATCCAACAGTTTCTTCTTTAACGCTGTGATGAGAAAATGTATCTTTCAGGATCCTAGATAAGTGATATCCAATCTTTGAAATTTACACTATGATGTTAATGTTTTTAAATGATATTTGTATTGTCTTTGGTTACGTATGATAATTGAATCAAAGACACAAAATGAAGACATCTTTTTACAAAATTTAGAATGGAGATAATTTAAGGCAGACAATGAAAATACACAGAAATACACAAGGCAAGATTGGGCAAAATGACTGTTGACAATGTATTATTCACCAAAATATTACTAAAAGAATAAAGAAAAAAAAACAACCAGTAAGATGAAAACTTCAGGTATACAATACACAGAAAAAAAATCATTTTTTAAAATGAATTAAAAAATGAATTTTTAAGTAAAAGTTAACTAAGAAGAGAGGTAATGATAGGTTAAATATAAAATATAGTGAAAAAATGTGAACATTGAACAGTGAAAAGCCAAAGAAATAACTGAAGAAATAACTGAAATTTGCCAAAAAAGAAGGAGGTGGCAGATTTGCTGGTAGACACATACTGAATTACACGTTAGCTAACAATCTAGCTAAAATTGGTTGGTTAAAAAAGCTAGAATTAAAATTCCTAAAGAACGTTTAAGACAAGACAATTAACCCAAGCAATTTCGTTAATATATTGCCACATACACAATAATAGTTAAAACTATCCCAAAGTTGATTTCAAGTTAACCTGAGTTAAACCTGAATGTAAGGACAAGCATTTTGGTCAAAGCTAATGTTTAAAAGAGCTGAAAGCTGAAACAGGAAAAAAAAAAAAAACTTGATTAAAGTTCCAGTCTGATGACAGACCAATAAACAGTTTAAAATCATGGACCACATAAGAGTCAGACCCCAGGACCACTGGACTCTGGACCTTAATGACAAATAACCAAGTTTTTTTAATGCGACCACAAAGTCTGGGTGGAAGGTTTGGCTGAGGTCTGGAACACTTTGACCAGTTCTTCCTTCCCAGCCCCGGCTGCCCTTCCTGCAGGTCTGATGGCTAAATCCCCCTTCATCTGTCTTGGCATTTACATTAGAATACCACAGAGCAGCCATGGTGATGAGCCAAGGGATTTTCACAAAAACAGCACGTCATGTTTCAAATTAGTTGGAAGTGCTCGCTGCAGGATCCATTTCCTATTTTCTTCTGGAAAAACATTCCAAATGGAAATATTCATAATGAATGATCTTATGTTGTGTCGCTACCCAGAGGGGAGGGAGTGGGTTATTATCAGACCAAATGAAGCAGAGCACGTTTCCCTGGAATGTCTTGTCAGGAGTCTGAGCGCAGCCCCAGCTTTGAATGGAGCCCTCTGTTCTCTATTGACTTAAGAAGTTGACAAGTAGGGCCCTCTCAATGTGAAGTGGGCTCCCGGCAGACAAAGCGGGCCCACACAAGCTGTGAGGGTGAGGATGTGAAGATGGAGGGGCAGGGAGATGGGGGGGGGGGGGGGGGAGGG